ACAAAAAAAAAAAAAAAAAAAAAAAAATTAAAACATCTGCAAATACCTAAAAAGCAGAATAAAAATAAAACAATAGCATAAAAGCTATCCAGGTATTCACCATCTTCTTTTGATTGAAATTTCAGTCTAAAAATACTGCTAAACAAACCAAAATCTAAAGTAATTTATAGAACCTTTACCTACTTCAAAATATGCTACAATTTAATGAAGTCCTTCACTTGAATCTACCTATCTCCCTTGCCTCCAAGCCCTCCTCTCTCTTGTTCAGATGAATGAGTTGGGATGTGTTACAATTTTGAGATACCGTCTTATTTTACTTATTTCCCACACATAATATCAGATCATGTTAACAAATAGGAACTAGGGACAAAATGTGATTACTGGAGCCAAACGGCCTGGGTTTGAATCCTGACACTGAAGAGCTGTTGTCTTTTGTGCTCCGTGCCTCAGTTTCACCATCTATAAATGGACAGGTAAAATCTGAGGCTTCAGTGAGTGACTTCCTGTGTGGCAGCCAGGGCAGGGCCCAGAACACAGCTTGTAATGAATTGTAGGAGTCACTGCCCTTCCTTGAGGGCATCAAAGAGACAATCGGGAGAGCTGGGATTGGGTGTTTAGCTGCTGGTATCTGTGAATAGCCATTATCAGTCAGTCAGCGAAGGGGAGGGGAGAATCAAGGGCGCTTCCAGGAAGAGCTGGCTTCCAAGGACGTCTAGAGCAAAGTAGGAACTGGGGAAGCAGAGAAGAATGTAAGCAGGTATAGACTTGCGAGGGACTGTGCGACATCCGCAGACTGAAATGAGTGTGAAGGCCTCAGGAGCCAGAGGGAATAAATACTGAAAGATGAAAGAAAACAGCTGAAAAATGTAAAACCCCAAATGTGCAAGTGGATATTCGACCAAACTCCCACTCCCAGGTACCTTCCTCCTCCATCTGTTCCTATGGGCAGTGTATGGGGCTGAAGTTGGTCCTCACTGAGTGCTCACTGGGGTCAGGACACAGTAAGAGGCACCAAGAAGAATCTGGAGACTGGTGACCACGGTGTCTCCTGTCTTGAACAAGGGTCCCGAGCTTTCTGCTGTGAGGGACCTTCTGCAGTCTTTCTGAGAGCCAGTCTGAAGCTGACTGCCAGATCAGCAGCAGCGTCCCACAGCTAACCTGCCACGGCCCCCTGGTTTGTCACACTTCTACAAGCCAGAGAAAGTGAGCTCCCCACAAGGCAGGGGATGGCCTCTCAGACACACTGACCATGCTCAAGGCTACTCTGAATATAATCATGCTGGTACCCCTGACTTTTTTAGGAGAATGTAGGGAACACTGAGATAATAATGTCCAGTGCTCGCGGACACAGCTATCAATTTGGGATTCAAAGTGGTCATGGAGAAACAAATCACCTAACAGTAGTTTATTGGTCTCCTGGGCCATGTGCTATGACAGTGGTCAATTAGCAGCACACTGGACGGGGGCAATCTGACTTCACCAGTGAAGTGACAGGAGGCTGTGGCTGTTCCTTCGCACAGTCAGGAAATGTCTCTCACCTGCCCTTGTCACTTACAGCCCAGGGGCTCACACAGCAGCTCGGGGATGTTTGCTTAGGCAACTAGCAAGAAAATAAAGACAATCAGCAATTGAGGGCTGGGCCCTGTGCGTGTGACACTAGACCACACTCCTGTGTCCCTGTTTAAACAAGGAGGCTTTTTTAAATACTTGACAAATACTTACAAAAGTAGGCGATCAAAGGAAGAAGTCATAAATGGCTTCCTGCTTCCACGGAGCATATTTTTTTCTCAAGGGAAGTGACAGCCTTCTCTCCTGTCCTGGTAGGTCTGGCTGGTCTGTACTTCCTCAGTAAGATCATATCCTACTTACTACAATTAACCTTACGCCGATTTTACTTCCCCTCATTCCAGGAATATTTCCTCAATACTACCTTTTCTCAAGAAAACAGCCAAAGGATGTATCAAGAAGGATCTGACAAAGCAGCTCAAACAACATTCACCATTTAACAACAGAACCATAATTAGCATCTATGCATCCACATTTTCAGAAACTCCCTGGCTGGTTTTGAAAGCTTGTCCCCAACACTTGTTTCTAGTTCATGTCACAGAGTGGACATTTCGGGTCAGGTCCCATCTCCGAGGAAGGTGGACCATAATCAGATCTGACCTTTCAAGAAGTCATCTCTGATAGTAACCCTGTCTCATTTGAACCACTGAAATCATTACAAAAACCTGAAGTTAACAAAATTCTTAGTACTTTTAACCCATTTTCTTTCTTTTAAAATATTTTTGTACTGGGATGAAACCCAGGGCCTTTGCCCTTTTTTATTTGAGACAGGGTCTCCCTAAGTCGCTGAAGTGCCCAGGCTGGGCTTGAATATGCAATCCTCCCGCCTCAGCCTCCCAGAGTGCTCAGATTATAGGCACGTGCCATCTTGCCCAGCTCAGCCCCTATCATTTAAGGTTTGATGATTATTAAAATAAATTGTAGAGAGCAATAGTGATGTTTTAGGAATCTTTAAGCAAAAACCCAAAGATACTGTCCTAGAACGAACTAAGTATTTCAATATGGTGACAGTTTTGTTGTTTCCATGATGAATAAAACCTAATAAAACACTTTAATTATCCAACCAAGTAAATTAGGATAGTAGTAGGCACACGTATTCTTTTAAAAAAAAAAAAATCACAAACCCAGGGTACATTATTTCCAGAGCACAAATGATGTTAGAACTTAAGACAACTTCTTTAAGTACTACTATATGAGATTTTGGGGGG